GTGCCAGATACTGTGCTATTACACAGTTACAAATATTATCTCATTTAAAACTCATAACAACCATGGGAGAAAGGTACTATTATCTCCATTTTGCAGAACTGAGGCAGACATCAGTGAAGTGACTTGTCCATGGTCACACAGCTAGTAAGTGTCTGAGACCACATTTGAACTCAGGTCTTCTTGACTCCAGGCTCAGTGCTCTATCCACTGTGCCACCAGCCGCCTCTAGTTTCTGAACATACCATTCTCATTCTGTTATTTAGGCACATATCCATTTATTGAACTGCTTTAAATTTCATTCGTATGTAAAAAATGTTTTTCCTTTAATCTTAGTCATGAAGTCTACTTTATTTGCCTTAGGGTAGATTTCTGTGATATCAGCTCAGTTCTTGTTCAGTTTTCACTTCTATTATAAAACTGATCTTATTATGCAGATTTTTGAGTATTGATTATTTCCATAGCCTTCTTTCTCCTTTTCCACTTGTCCAAATTCTATGCAACCTTCAAGTCCGATCTCTATTTTCACTTCCTACATGAATTCTTTCTGAATAACAGCAGTTAACAAGGAACTTTCCTTTTCTGATGAACTATCACCTTTATTATCCATACCATACTATTTGCAACTTGGTCATGAGCTATATGTACTAGCTTGGTCTAATTATTTCACGTATACTAGTATCATAAGTTCCTTAGATTAGGTATCATACCTTAAACTTGCTTGTATCTACCACAGCATCTGGTGCTGGATATATTAATCTACTACAGCGCTAAAATGCACAAACCCCACAAAATATTTTTAAAAGAATGTCATTTGACCTTGTTGCTTTCACTCTTTTAAGGAAAGAAAATTGTGTCTTGAACTTTATTTAAGAAATAACCAAAGACTTTTCCCATATTGCATTTATTTAAAATAGAGTTATTATACCCCAAAGAGCAAAAGCCTCTGATGGGCTGAAAAATACTCCCTTTGTAGCTTAATCTCAATCTAAAAGCTTGTTTTGTTTAGAATGATGTGACCTTTAGTCTGTAGATAAAATGCATGCATATCAAGTCTTAATGTCAAATGAATTTGGCCATGGATTTGGGGGGAGGGGATCAGGGACAAGGAACAAGGAAAGCAGTCATTTTGTTTGTTTTTAAAGAGAAACTATATCAAATTTATGCCAAGTTGGTCCAAGTTGGTCTCCTAATTTTAAAGATCTTCTTTCTATTAGGAATTAGTAAAATACAAATATGTGTACCACTAGTTCTAGATAGGGAGAGTGGAGTAGCAGAATCAGAATATTTCTATTTCCATTTCCCATCAGCCAGTGTGGGAGGGGGAACAGAGAGAAGACTGGAGCCAGCCCCTCCCACTGCCCCTAGACTGAGCTCAGCATCTAAGGCCATGGCAATGAGTGGGAGATTAATTTGGGTTATATTATTTTTGGTCAAAAGTGATATGTGATTATAAAGGAAGGAGACTGATTTGTCTGGCGTGTCTCAGAAACTAGTTCTGAAGTCAATTTCTAAGAAGGTCAAAAAAGTTTTCAGCTATGGCAGCATTAAATTAAGGGAGAAAGGTCTAGTTTTTAGTCTTTACTGCTTCTGCTACTAATGGCCTAGCTTCTACAGTTTCCCATGTTACTCCTTTGAAGAAGAAAGCAAACATTTCATAAATTTACAGCTGGAAGGGAATTTAGAGGTTCTCTAGGGCAAGTCTCTAATTTTCTTTCCTTTTTTTTTTTTAAACTACCAACATGCCTTTGGAAAAATGTTTTTTAATATACCTTTGAAATAAATTAATTCAAAAGTAGGAAAAATAGCCTGTTTTGGACAAGAAAATATAAATATCCTACTCCAATGGATCTCTTGACTATGGTCAACACAAGTTTGCCAAAGGACAACACTCTTGTTTTCCAGGTGAGGAAAATGAGAACCTGAGAGGTTCAGTGACCTGCCTAAGGTCACACAGGTAGAGTGTATGGATAGGAAATCTCAGGTAGAGGCAAGATTCACCTCTATAGCCTTACTCTAAATCTAGTGCCCTTTTGGTTTACTGCACTGACTTGGTTGCATGAGCCCTGGTCCAGAATCAGAGTATTATCAGATTTATATTATGAATCTTGAATCATTACTTTAGCATTTCAACATGCATATTTAATGTATAATTAGCTTGACAAGTGTTGAGTGTTTATTATGAGCCCTTCCTTGAGTTAGGTGCTACAGAGATGAAGAAAGGCCAGAGTAAACATCCATGGGTCAATAAAGAGATGAGGTCAAAGGAAGGAAAAGACAGAGAAAGGCAGAAAAAACTCAAAGGGAGGAGAAACAAAGGTAGAGGAGAGTAAGAGAGACCAAAGAGAAGTAGTAGGTTTCTCTTTGAGGGGAAAAGGCCTACTTCTATTCCTCTCCACTGTTTCAGGTACTAGCACAACCTCAACCAATCTTTCACTACTATTGCTTCTAAGATTCAGGAAGAAAGTTGTTGATTGCATCACAATATTTTTATATCTCCATCACTACTTAGATTAATATATTTGTATCTTGTGTTGCTAGGGCTGGTACTAAAGGAAGGTTTCTCTCTTTCTCTCTCTCTCTCCTTCCCTCCTTCCCTCTCTCCCCACTCCTCTTCCTCTCTTTCTTCTCTCTCTTTCTTTTCTTTCAGTCTCTATCTCTCTCTTAGTCTGTCTCTTTTTCACACACTTGCACATGCAGAGAAGGGGAGAGATAGAGGGAAGGAGGGAGAAAGACAGAGACACAGAGAGAGAGAGATCAGTCTTCTTTTCTGAGAATAGCAGAGAGTGAAAGTGAGAAGAATTTAGGAGTGTGGCCCAAGAGTAAATACAATACTTCCTGAAAACATGCCATGGCCTCCTTGGTAATCAGGTATCCCTCCTCTCTTCTCACCCTGCTTTTTATGTGTGCCATGGCCTGCAAGGGAGAACAAAGAGGCAAGTGTGGCTGGCATGGCATAACTGGTTACTCTGCTAAAGAAATGCCAAATCTGGCTTTATGAGTGTCAGTAGCATCTTCTGTATTCAGGAAAGTTCTTTCATGCTCTATTAGAGACTGATGCTCAGCATATCATTGGAAGTAAAGTAATGCCTTTAGAAATGATTTATAAATAAATTCTTGCAAACTTGTTAACAAGTTTGATGTTTTTGCTAGCAGAATTCTTTCTAAACAAGTTGCTATGTTAGAATGCCATTGGCCTCAGGTCCTCTTAAATATCAAATTTGAACTTTAGATTGGCAAAGGAAAGAAAATTTAGGAAACCTGGCTTCTAGGCTTATATGTTGCTCTGGCCTTTCCTCATCTCTGTAGCACCTAATGGATTATGATATAAGGAGATACTTTTGATATATTTATTAAAAACAATTTTCACTAGAAAGCATTCTTCTTCTATTGATCTATTTTTAAGGTTGGAAGCATATGGTTGAACTAACCAAACAGACCATGAATATCAGCTAGGCCAATGAAGAAAAAAGCAGGAGACCCAAGAGACTCTCTTAAAGGCATGAATTTTGCAGTAGAGGAAAAGCAAGGGGGTCCTTTCTGTAATTTTTGTTTGGGGTGGGGGTTCAGAATTTAAATATACGATATTGGTTGAAAGCAAGGTTGGAATTGGAAGTCATCTACCTAAAGAGATCATCCAAGCATGAGTTTTGCTTCCTCATAATCTTGGGACTATTTTAGTTTGTGTTAGATATTAAAATTCTTCATGGTAATAGGATTTTAAGTGGTAACAGCTCCACAAATCTTATACTCAAAAGAACCTCCTACACCCCTTGACTTCAGATGACAGAACTGAATTCCTTCTAATTATAAAGTGAAATAAACCCACAGTAATTATAATAATAATGAAATGAAATAGGAAAGGTCAATGCAATCTACAAGTAATTGCTGGGTAATTATTAAATTAAAATCAGTAAAGTAGCCCACTAACTTAAAATTGCAAAAATAATGCATTTCTAAAGGCTAAATAAATTTCTAAATTCTGAAAGGAATAGTTTAAGGAACTGTTCTATGTGGGTGCTGTGGAAAGAGCACTGGATTTGGAGTCAGAGGACCTGGGTTCAAATTTTCACTATATTATTACCTGTGTGACCTTTGGCAACTCACTTCACCCCTATGTCGGCCGATGTAAAATGAGGGAGAGGGGTGGATCAGATGACTCCTGAAGTCTCTTCCAGTTCTAAATCTATGATCCTAAACTCTAAGATGAACTTTCTGTGGTTCATTTTTCCCTCTCCAAAGCAATATATAAGCCTGGAATTTAATCTTCCTAAATTTCCTTTTCCTTTGCCAATCTAAAGTTCAAATTTGACTTTCAAGAACATCTCAAGCATTAGAATAACAGCAGCCAATCATCCAGTTAAATCCCCCCCAACTCTTGTGGGCAGCTAGGCCCTGCCTGCTTTTTTCATGGGCAATATTGAGAGCACTGAAGTTTTGTTTTTCTTTTCCCACCTAAATGGAAGTCAGACAATCTCACCAGCTGGCCCATGGCAAAGAGAATGCTTCTTTCTTTTAGTTGGGCAGGAGACAGATCGGGGCCACTATTTTGTTTTCTTTTTAAATCTTAGGAAATCTTTTACTTAAAAATAAAAATCCAGAGCTTCTTTGAGAGTGTAATTTCTTCTCATGCCAGATACAGTTATATATCCTTGAACCTAAAAAAGCTCGAATACTTAAGCAATGTTACAAATATATATGCAACCATTTTACATGCCAACATAGGTTCTTTGCAGAGAGGAAGCTTCCAAAACTTTCACGTAAAGGAAGTAGACACTCAAGAGTACGCCCCCACACTAATGTCCTTTTTTAAGACTAAAACATGTATCTGGGAAGAGGCGTCCAAGTGGCATCTAGGTTGGGTTAATGTGGACACCCAAAGGCTCAAAGCTTCAGAACTTGCAAACCTAGCGGGTCCTCCCTCTCAATCTTCTCCCTTCCCGCCCACCCCAGAGTGGAGAGCGGGATGAAGGCGGGGAGAGGGGAACAGCGCCTACGCCTACCGGCACCATGGAATAAGTCATCATCATCAGCATGTCCTGGTTCTCCGCCCGGATGTGTGGCTGGGGCTCCCCAGCATGACTGCGCTTGTTCCGCGCCGCCCCGGGGAGATCTGGCTCGGGGTTGCCGGGGATGTTCTGGGGAGCTCGACTCAGCTCCTGGAGGAAGATGCGGAGGGCGCTGTCCTCCCTCGCCTGCTGAACCCTCTCCGCCTCCAGCGCCCGCAGCTCCTCGCTCAGTCTGCGCCACTGGCACAGCGCGAAGACTGTGCCCACCGCGTTGAGCGCGGAAAGCAACGCCACGGCGGCCAGGGCGCCACGCAGAGCCCAACTGACTTCCCCGCTCCCTTTCTCTGTTTTGGTCATCCTCTCCACTTAGAGCCCCGGCCGGGCCTCAGAACGCAGTTGCGAGGTTGACGGCTGGAGGCCAAGTGCGCCGAGCTCTGAGGATAGGGCGGGGGTAGGGCCGGGCCGTAGAGAAGCTCAACCGGTTGTCTCCTGGTCAGGCTTATAAGCTTCTGGAAAGTCGTGGGCTGGTGGCAGCTCTGTGAGTCACATTGCCCTTTGGCCAAGGGAGCAGGGCGGATTGGAGATGAGCAGCCCTGGCAAAGGAGAAACCCCTAGGAATGGATGACAAGAAGAAGAGAAAGGACTAGTGGGAAGGGTCAAGTGACAGAACCAAACTAGAGGCATTGGTTGTAGAACAGTGGCACCAGATGAAGTTCCCGGTACCAAAACAAATCTTCCCATATTTTCCCCTCCTCTCCCTTCCCACCTTTAACCTGCCTCCTCTCAGTACTTGGAGTTCCCCTCCTCTCGTGGTCTTTGAAAATTGTTGGGGGCTGCATAGGTAGAGAAGGAGAAAACTGGGGATTATAAAAGAAAAAAAGATGGAAAAAGGATGAGAAAGACAGGATAAAGCACAGTTGAGGGAAACCAAGTTAGAATGGAAGGGGAGTTTGGTGAAAAAGCCCATTAGTTTCCATTCAATAGGGTGGTCCATAAGGGTAGGGTCACACGTAAGACATATTTGTTTACAAACCACATAGTGTTACTGTTGAATTCTTCCCGTGCTTTTAACTAACTTACATGCCGGTGGGGGTGGTAAGACCTAGGATTATGTTACTGCCAGTTTCTCACCATTCCATTCTTCCATTTCCCCACAGTCACCTGACAAATGCCTACTTCCGTCTTCTTGTCTTCATATTAATAGAAGCTAAGGACTAGAAATAAGAAGGAAGACAGAAAACGTTAGACATTGGGGATTTATAGACACAGCCCATCGAAGTCAGAAAAGCGAAGATGAAACCCAGTATAGAGTGCAGTAAAGCATCCCTGCAGGTAGACTTCCGGAATTCATCAAGTTGAAAAAATGTTCGCTTTGTGCAGTTATCAACGGAGAAGCAGTGCGAGTTAGTGGAAAGAGATCTAACCTGGGAGCTGGGAGCCTAGATTCCGGTTCTGGCTCCATCACTTACTTGTGTGACTTTGGGCGTTTTATTTCATCTTTCAGCGCTTAATTCCCTTATCTGACAATGAAGGGACTGGATTATATGATCTCTAAGGGCATGCTTTAAAACATCTGATGATTCGGTCTTCAGCACTAGGCACTATCCATGGTACTTCGCGTGGGTGCAGCATAAAGACACCTATCTTCTCCCACTCAAACTCTCACAGTTTGTCTCATAGACTCAATCTCCTCCAAATTGCCCAAGTCTTCTTAATTACTGTCAGCCTTGGGGACAGAGAGGAAAATTTTCTCTTCTCTTTCTTATTTGACTGTACCTTCTATAAACCAAGCATTTCTTCCTTCTCCTCTTCCCTGCACCATGGAGCTCTTCATTTCCCAGCTTGCCTTTCTCATCATTACTTAAGCCTATATGGGTCCTATGCTAATGAGACCAGGTTGTGTTAGAAAGAACCAGTTTTCAAGTAGTGTTGCTCTTGCTTTAACCCATTCCACCTTTCCCCTTTATAAAAAGAGCAAGAGGTTCACAGCTGCCAAAAGCAGTTGAAATCCAAAAATTACAGTAAACATAAATGGAGTGAGAAGGACAAGGCAATGCAGCATGCATAGATACCTTGAGGAATGTTTTCAGGGAGTGGTTAGGGCTCTGAAGCCATCTCCCCCTAGGATATAAAAATTCCAGTTCTTACAGGTAGACCTTGAACACAGAGAAGCCTTGATGATGGCAGTTGGCTCTGCGAGTACATAAGTCAGAGTTATGAACTAAGAGAGAACTGGAGTTGTGCTGAAATTAGGAGCATTGTGTTGAGTTATGGGCATAATTTTTTTTTAGGTTGGGTCTCCTTATCTCACCTAGGATGGAAGTGGAGAGAGTACTCAAGGGTCTGATCCCAATGCTGATTGGCATGGAAGCTTCAGTCTGCTCTGTTCCTGACTTGGGCTGGTTTACCCTTCCTTGGGCAGCCAGCCTCCTTTAGCCATCCTCTACCCCCAGGGGCTCATCACATTGGTGCTGGACTTAGAATGGACCTCTAATTGGCTTTAGTCCCACTGTTATGCAGAACTCAAGTGATCTGTCTACTTCTTCAAACATATGAATGGTCTGTCCAGAGACAAGAGGCAGATGGTGGTTCAGTGGGTAGAATATTAGACCTGGAATAAGGAAGACCTAAGATCAAATCCAACCTCAGACAGTTCAGTTCCTATCTGTGTGATCCTGAGTTAGTCATTTCACCTCTGTCTGACTCAGTTTCTTCAATTGTAAAATAGGGATAATCTAAAATAGGGAGCATCTACCTTTCAGTGTTGTGAGGATCCAATTAGATAATATTGGTGAAGCTCTTTGCACAATGCCTAACACATAATAGGTACTTAATAAATGCTTGTTTCCTCCTTCCCTCCCTCCTTCGCTCTCTTCCTTCCTTCCTTCCTTTTGTCCCAGAGAGTAAAATTAAAACTAATGAGGAGAAGCTTCCTAACAATTATGTTAATTGGAGCAATCTGTGAAGTAATAAGCTACCTCTAATTGGAGATATTCAATCAGGAGATAGATGATGGAATAGAATAGATTCCTGCATTTAATGGACTAGATGACCTGTAAGGTAAATTCTTTCAATTCTCTTACCCATGGTTCCAAGAAGCTATAGCATGCACAGCAGGTACACCTTGGTAATACTGTCTTGGCAGATGGGCTGAACCAGGCTGAGGGTCACTGACAGGCTTCAAATTCATTGGTGATTTAGGGGGATGTCTGTCCCAAGCATGTGAGGATTTACCCAGCAGAATGGGCAGATGGGAACAATTTGTTCCAATGGCCAAGAAGATGACTGAAACAGGCACTGTGGCATGCTTAGAGCCTACTCAGACAACAAAGATGCCAAAGCCATCCACTGTATCCCTGGCCATCACCATATTTGTCTTACCACTGGACTTTGATGCTTCTAGAAGAGAGAATGAAACTGACAACTTTATGCAGCTCTGCCTCACTTAAATCCAATTCATACTCAAGTCAAGATACCACCCTGTGATGTCATTGGTCCTCTTTGAAAACAAAGGACTAACAACAACAACAACTACAACAAAGCGCCTATTAGATGCAAGGAATTACGCTGGACCTGAGAGAAGCAAAGATTAACAAACAGTCCCTGTATTAAAGTAGCTTGCATTCTACTCGAGCTGAGGTAGGGAAAGAACAGTAGAACATATCTGCAGATAAGTAAATAAAAAGTAATGTCAAGAGGAAGTAAAATGACTAGTGACTAGGAGGAGCAGTAGGCATCTGTGGAGGAGGTGGCACTTGAACTAAGGCAAGGAGGGAATGCACTACAGACAGGAAGGATCATTACCAAGGAAAAAGACCGAATTTTGAATATAAGGTAGAGTTAATAGGCCATTTTACTGGGATAGAAGGTGAATAAGGTGCCTTCCTATCCCCAGATTCTATTATGTCTATGACTACACTCTACCAATGGGCTGCAACTTGATTAAAAGAAAAAGAAGCAAATGACTAGGGCAATAACTCTTCTACTTTGTTTCTGGAGCCACCATTGTAATTCAATTAGGTTAAAATTTCCCAGCTCTGTCAGAGGTAACCTCTGCCTTGTGTCCTTTCCTAGGGGCTAATTTTAGATACCCTTATTGAGTGGGTATATGTTAATTTGCATGACTGCTGCTTTGCACAACACAGAGACTTGGGTTGAGAAAGAAATTCCTCATTTTTGGGGTCATACTTGTTGCAGTTTCTTCTGCCTGATTCCTCAGTGAAGAAATTCTTTCTTGAGGCAAACTTTTAGAATAGTAATTGGTTGTTCTTTGGTTCCTTGGACACATAAAAGACTTGTTTGAATCTAATGTGATATCTTGATTTAATAATGCCCCACCTATAATCTCAGCTACACCACCACCTGGCTCCCAGACCAAAAAACACTTTTTCAGAGACATATCACTTGATCTGAAAATATTTACAACAACATTTACTGTGTTTTTTCCCTTGGGTAAGCCCCCTTCACTTTAAACATATATAATTCAGCCATGAGCATATAATGGCTGCCCAAAAATGTCTTACCATGCCTGGAAATATGGGAGAGGATGGGGCTCCTCCCCCAACATACATAGTTAGTATGTTTTAGGAAGAGAACCCTTGTGTAGAATTTAGTTTGTGAAATTAAATTAAATTAAATTAAAACTATAGCAATAGTTCCCAAACTGGGGCCCACACCCAAGAGAACAGAATAAGGGGCAGGTATAGGCAAGTAGAGTAGGCTCTGACTGTCCTTCCTTTGGGGATCATTTCCTGAGGGAAGTTCACTGTCTAATCCATCTGAAGGAGAAAGAATGGTGGCAGAAGAAACCCAGTGATTCTGCCACCTCCCCAGGATGCATTAGAGCAAAAAGCCAAGCAGCCTCAGGATTGTGGGTCCATCTTTCCTAACACAGGACCAGAGAGTCAGATCTCTAAGACACATTGCAGAGGCCTCTGACCTGGAAATGGCCATAGGATAGATTGCTACTAGACCAATTTTGGGGATACAAGGTTAAGAAGGACAAGAGAGGTGTGGGTTTCTGGGATTGCTATGGGGGCAGTCAATGGGAAGATAATGGTTTACCCTCTTCCTTTCCTATTTCTACCTCTCCAGGTAGAGCTAATGGCCAGGGTCTCCCACTGCATCGTGGGCCATGTCCAGCCATCCTGATGAATATCTGGCCACTGGACCCAGATGGTTCTGGAGGAGAAAGTGAAGGTGGTGACCTTGCACAGCCCTCTCTCACTCAAGTCAAAGTCCGTTAATTGCAAGTCGTGTCATCATCTCCCTGATGTCATGGTCCTCTTCAAGAATAAAGGACAAACACAATCTCTCCAATTCTTCCCTTTTTCCTATGCATTCTACTTGTTTCCCTTTATTGTTGTTCAGTCATACCAGTTGTATCTGACTCTTCCTTAACCCCATTTGGGGTTTTCTTAGCAAAGATACTAAAGTGGTTTGCCATTTCCTTCTCCAGTTCATTTTACAGATGAGGAAACT